GAATAAATAGGTACGGAATATAAATGCAAGTCATTTAACATATGTATATAATAAATATTTCATTTGCATTTAAAACATTATGTGATACAAATATAACAACACATTTCATATGTTTTCTATCAAAATAGTTTAAAATACAGAGTATTAAAAATATAAAGAAATAAATTCTCTTTTAAAACTAAGCTTGAATTAAATTAAAATATAAGTGACCCAGCATTTCTTTTGTTCCAATTATGAAATTAGGTGTCAAGGCGATCGGGTTTTGTTTCAGAACTACGTAATTTGAATCGGCACCCATAGTCTGACGATAAACAAAGCGTATACAACGAATACGAGCTGGATTGACTACAAAACTACATTATTATGACATAATTCTAGTTGGAAAATTAGTTCAAGGGCAAAATATAGACTAGAAAATATCAGAAATGTATTAAAATTGTATTTCTCACCTTCAACATCAAAGCAAGGGTCCTGCGAAGCTTCTTCCAGGATCGAAATTACATACGTAAGAACTATATCATCTATCACGTTTAAATCAGCACTAGGGATATGTTTCGTAATAAACTGAAATAAACCTTCCTTAACAAGGACCTTCTGTTGCGCTATAGCACTCATTTTTATCTTAAACACCTTATTTTCCAGAAAAACACCACAAGAATGTAATGTATATTCAGAAAGATCGTTACGGGTGGCTACACAGTGTAAAAGTAGGTTTAATGTACGATAAAGACGCCCCAACACAGCTATAGAACACTCTCTTTATATCCTCAAAAGAAAATAATTTGTTTAGTTATAACTGCAGCTCTATTTTCACGGGAAAAATCTGGGATAGAAACTGCGAAAATCAATACAAATGCAAGTTTTTTTTTTATAAACAACTTTTTGTACTTTTAAGAACGGGCACGAACTCATCTGCATACAGCCACTGTAAGTTGTCATTTCATTTAAAAAATAAGTTTTAATTTCGTTGTGTGCAAAAATGTTCAATTTTCAATAGATATTAATTCTAAATTTGTTGAATTAATATTACATTTAGTAATAAAAATGTATTTACGGTTTTGAGTATATATACGAAATAGAGCAAGTTTGTGTTTATCAATTTCTGGACGCAGCAAATGTCATTGAGGATAAAATGGCGGGAGAAATTTGAATCTTTGCGTCAAGTTACGGCGGGTTATTTGAAATTATATAAGTTTTTCATACATTAAAGATGATGATTATCGTTATTTTCATTTGTTTTTACTACTAATTGAATGATTTAAAAGGGTACTTTTGTTAAGATCGAAGTCAATTGAAGTCAGGAATGTCAATTTTATTACGAAGATTAACGGTTTGCACTGGATTTAACCTATTAACTAAAAACAAATATTATAGCTAATCGTCTCTCCCATCCCTAATCCCAAAAAGAAAAGCAGAACAGAGCACTTGCTTCGTGACTCCTCTGGTGTTGCGGGTGTCCATGGGCAGCATTAATTTTTCTTATAACGTGAAGAGTGCTTGTTAAATGTATGAAAATTATACCTACTCATTCCACGCATAAGAAAAAATTACCAATTGATCACAGGAGTAATATTGTTGCTAGAATCGAACAGCCAGTCACACCACCATTTCAGCCGAGCTTGCAGATGCAAGTATCTAGCAATACCTAACTTACCGCGGCATAAATCAGAAGAAGGAAGAAGTAGGTCTTAATTCAGAATGAGTTTGACACTGCCTCTCGCCCAACCAAAGGCGGGAAAATTTTACACTTAAAATAATATACCACTACTGTGCGAACCATGCAGTCTTTAGTATCAAAATATTACGTGTTTTAATAATATGGATTTCTGTCGTAAAGTTAATTATGTGTAAGATTTTTCGGGGTAGGTACGGGTCAAGCGCAATAAGGTACCGTGACCTCGGCCTAGAGCAGGAGAAGGAATGGGAGTCTTGACACATTCAGCAGGGGTTGCGGATACAAGCATAAATATTCCGCAACTCCAGGCTGGAGCAGGAGAAGGAACGATATGTTTTTTTAGTCGGTAGATAAGAGTCTGACACTTCCTCTCGCCATACCCGAAGCATAGCAATTAATAAGCATTTAGACCGAGTCGTGTTGGTTTTATTGAGAAATATCAATCGCCATACCCTGGGCGAGAGAACACATTTGATGATTTTCCCTTGACGAAAAATTACTTATTTATTTTACAGGGTTGTAATTAAAACATACGATTTTCAAATTAATATATATTTTCAATTAAAATTTTAAAATATAACATGCATTCATTTATTCTCTCAATATTTATCCTAAAAATGACTGTTCAACACAACGCCGATATTTCACAACTACATTTTTATTTTTATTATTTTAATATATTTTATTTTACAATATAAGTAACAATAATTTTAGTTTATGGAATCACAATGGGAACTTTTTGGCACAGTTTTACGAATACACATTCTAAATTTAAATAAAAAATAATGTACCTACATAGCAATTCAGTAAGATAAAGGGTCGTAGTCTAAAAAAGTAATCTAAGAATATTCTGCGAAATTTGAAAATGTCAAATGTGAAATGCATGCATAACTAATCGATTCTTTTTTGAAAGTTTCGACACAAATTACGGCTTAAAAAATAGTCACCAAGTCCCCTATAATATAACCGTTTCTCCAATATCGTGAGTGCGTTTAATTTTCGTAAAAATCTGTTGTCGAAACTTTCAAAATTTTAGGTTTAATTCGAAAAGTTATTTTTATTTATTTATGTGGGTCAGATTTTTACTAAAATAACTTTCTTATTTGTGAGTTCGACCATTAGGGCTGGTGGTAGGTACACACTTGATTGCTGTGAGCCTTAACAATCAGTGTAAGTACCTACCTACCTACCTACATTTTGATCATACACGACAACTTGATAAATAAACAATTTTTTTTTGTAAGAAGACTACTTTTTGGTCTCTGTAAGACATACGACCTCTTTAGAAAAATAACACACAAGCACAGATAAGAAATAACGAAGACGATATTTTTTTAAACAGTTTCTGGTGCACATACCACGAGACAAATCCTTACACTACTTATGAAATAAATAAAATTGTAAATTCTAATAAATTGAGTGCAATCTATCTACGTTTAGCTAGTTTAGTGTGAAATTTTAGTTCTTGGAACGTTAGACTTTTAAGTTTAGTTTAACAAAAGATAGATTTTTTTAATACACGTTGTTAATGAAAAGAAATATGATTATAATTATACCTTGTGGGTTCAAATTCATGAGATTCATCTTTTTTTATACCCAAAGTTATAATTTTGGGTTGCACATTCATGAGTATGATAAACGATCTCCAATTGAATTCTTTTTTATTTAAAGGACGATTTATCTTTTCTTTTCCTGTAATCATCTTTCCTTTTCACAAACAACGTGTCAACATAATTATAGTTTTTAAAATCAGCGATTTTTCTTTAAAGTTTCGCTTTTTAATTGATTAAAAGTATTCTTATAAAGAAAATTCGTCCGATTTTCATAACAAATATAGTTTTTTTTTTGTAATTAAAATAGTACTTTCAGAGGCAGGTTCAACAAGTAATAGGTACTTTTTAGTCTGTGCAAAATTACTCTTTTAAATTTTTTACGCGGTAAATTCGTCAATGGGCGCCATTTTTTAAGAGTAATTTTGCAAAGTTATTTTTGTGTGCAGGTACATACATCATATATTTAAGATATAATATAATAATACTATATTTCTTTATTATTATAATAATAAGTTATCTTTGTCCTAAGTATAGTTAAGTCTGGATTAGGTACCAAGTTATCTTTAAGTCGGAGTTTTTTTTTGTCAAGTCTTTTGCTAGAGGACTCTGATAAGGTTTTGTGTTGTAAATTTAAGACTTCACCATGAGATTCCAACATATTATTTCGGAGATTTTGTAATAGATTTTTTCTTAAGATACCTATTTAAAAATATTCGAAGTCTGTTACTTTATTTCCAATGAATGCATAGCTAGACTGACTTATTTAGACATATCAGTAATGCCTAACTAAAATTTTAATTCCTATCTATCTAAATGCGTTTTGTATAATGATGGGAAACATTTGTATGATTTTATCGTCATTTTTGTCGATCTCGAGGTTAGTTTGACAATACGGTAGTTTCTAACTAGTCAAATACAATACTTTTATCCAAATGTCAAAAACTATACTTTTCTATGAAATTTGTATAAAAAACTGAGTTATGACGTCATAACATTTTTACGTCTAATAGCTTACCTACTTATTTTTTAATAATAAGCTCAAAAAAAAATAAAACGTAGTGTATCGATCGATCGATGAATAGAAGTGTAGTTATTTTTCAATATTTTGTTGCATTGAAACATCGGATTAATTTATTTTTGACCTAGGAAACTACCCAATTCTGACAGTTTGAGCTTGATGTATCAGTCATTGTCTATGAAATTAGGATACAATTCTTATGTAAGAAAGTACGGGTAGGTACGCGATGAATTGGCCAAAATATGCTCATTGCTGGCAAAGGCAATCGATTTTTCTCTTTTTCGGATTTTCTCTTATGTCGTAGGTGCGTTTAGAAACATATAATTTCACATACACATAACCCAGACCCGGAACAATAATTTATGGATTAAATTGAAACACAGAATAAATTGCAGGCAGCCGGTTGCTCAGTCATCGCGTGAACCTTGCTGTCAATTCAAGGCGTACTAGAAAATTCCTCTCTTATTTTTATCTTCGGCAATACTTATTACTTTTAATCCTTCTTGAACAATGATCAAGAAAATCTTACAAATGTGACCCATTTTAAAAGGAGGTTTGATCTATGTCCCTAACTAAATAGCAGTCTAAATCAGTTTGTCTAGCTAAAATATGTATAGCTGATAGGACGAAGTGAGGTTTAGTTCAGTATTCAGTAGATATAAATTCATATTTCTTATTTGCAGTCTAAAAAAAGATATAACCTAAAAGAAGATTTTTTAAAACAGTTAAGCTATTATTGGACAGATTTTGACACTTAAGAAGTACAGTGGCGACCTCTATGCAAAGGTCTGAAAGGAAGGAAACAGTTATTGTTGTTTCTACAATATATTTTTATATGTTATACCTGTAACTTAGAGTTTGATTATCAATCAAATCTTATGTTATAGTAAATAACGGTAATAGAATTTGGACTATTTTTTAATGGATATAATAATTAAATCTTTTATATTTTTCTCTATATTATGTATTAAAATGTTAATGTATATAAGTATATGTTCTCTTCACATTCAACAGTGTTTAACTTTTGAGGTTGGGTGAAAAGAGTATTTTCACGAACAACTTTAGTGAATTCATAATTTTCATATTACGTAAGTACCTATTTCTTTTGTCACATTTTTAAGGGAAGCTAAGCTACCGAAATCCCATTTTTAACCGACTTCAAAAAAAGGAGGAGGTTCTCAATTCGATCGTAATTAAAGTGAGTCACGAGGATGAACTGAGAAAAAGATATCACGACGCGCACACTACTTTTTTTATGTAATTGGTCTGCTAACGAGCAGACGGATTACCTGATGGTAAGCAATCAGCGCCGCCCATGGACACCCGCAACGGAGGAGTTACGAGTGCGTTGCCGACCTCTTAGGGATTGGGGGAGGGATAGGGGTAGGGGAAAGATTGGGCCTCCGGTGACCTCACTCACACGGTGAAACACAACACTGTGGTTGTTCCATGCCGGTTTTCTGTGAGACTGTGGTATCACTCAGGTCGAGCCGACCCATTCGTGCCAAAGTTTGAATCTCCCGCACTTATATGTATATTCTATTCTAACGAATGAGTGTCAGTTAATTTACATAAGCAAGTCGTTATTTTCAATTAAACCTTTATATGCACAATGGCCAGCAGTTTAACTAACTATTCTCTATTAAATAAGTTTATTCGTTTTTCAAGGTCGAAAAACAACAAAAATATTGTCTGATGGCAGAAACAATTACCCAGGTTATTTTCTTTCTGAATATGGATTTTCGGACATGGCAGTGACATTAATATGATCTTATTTGTGCAATTATTAAAATTTTTATTAAAATTTCTCTTTTCACCCATCCTCAAAAGTATGTGCCCGACAAACCAGTGCGTTTATATACTGTATATGAATGCTCTCTTCATTATATTACTGTTAATCTTAATTGACGATTAAAATTTGGCAGTTAATTACGGATTTATAATACATTATACATATGTTGAATTTCAGATTATATTTATGATTGATCTTTTTAAACCTATGCCTATGGCTTGGAATCCCGATGACAATCTCAGCCGTTGTCATTCCCTCCGAATCTGACATTTGTAAATGTCAAACGTAATGTCTTATGAAAATATAATTTTTGACAGTGACAGTTAGAAATCATAGAGGAAAGTGCCAGGGTCGAGTGTCAATATTTTAAAAAAATAATAAAGTTTAGTAGATTATCAGTTTTAGTAGATTTTCAGTTTTAGTAGATTTTCAGTTTTTAGATACATTTTAAGTATAGATAATAATTTGTAATAATTAAATTTAATATTTACAAAAGATCATCCGTCGAATTATCCACCATTACAAATTCACACAATATCATACGGGATTCACGATACTTTTAATTTTTTTAATATTTTTTAGGTATGTATATCTCATTTGTTATAGAAATATACAACTACAAACTATGACATATAATATAGTATAACAGCAACGAATGTGTATACCATACAAGCGTATATAATCTCATCTAAAATAATTATGATCACAATACTCGTACACTAAAGTCGACTTGCATGTAAAGATAAGAAATTAATTAATTAAAAAGGTCACCAAACCCCAAGGGAACGCCGGCGTTCTCTCACCTATTGTGTCGCGAATTACTACGATTGAAAGGCAAAAAATCTGTGATGAGTTCATAAGAACACTTTTGCACAATGCAAGCCAGCCTGCTCCCTCTTGCTTCTAGACCAAAGGAATGGCGAAGCGGAGATTCAGCCATTACCAGCCTTAGCGTAATTCTTTAAACCGCGGCGTTCGCGCATCTATTGTTCTTGTAATGTGTCTCGAACTACCACAATTGAAATCCTCACACGGGATTCGTCTGTCCAAGTAGTCATCAGCTTCAGCTTGCTGAACTACAAGTAAAAAGTTTAAATAATTGCAAACATATTACATATAAAGTAGATGGTAGAAAAACATTTCAGAAAAAATATTCAGTGATATTTTACTTTTGGCACAAGACTTTCTTAATATTAAGTGTAATAAAATAGTCTTTATTGCTGCAGTTTTAGATACATTACAGTGATTATTTTGAAAATTATCTCATATACATGCAAGTCGACATAATCTCGTCCAAATGAGGATTTTCGCGCCGCTAGAGGCCGCTAGTGCAGCTTCAAGTCAATTTGTCTATACTCAATAATGTCATTCAACAATGACTCTACGCTTCACTAGCGCCATCTGTAGAAAGCAAAAACGAAAATCCTCACCAATTTAAATAGTAGGTATAATATAATTAATAATTCGTACTTAAGTATAAAAAAAACAAATGTCTCTGTTTTTTTCATCATCATATTAATAAAGCGTATTTTTCAAAGGATTCTCGGTCCTAAATACACATATTAAATAATGGCTATGATTGAGATTGAAAAAAATTATTGTAAACGGACAGAAATTAAATTTGCAACTGAGCTTGCATTTTTTTTAACGTGACGGTTATAATCTTTCATGCAGCTCTATTTCAGAAGCTAAGCTCATAACCTGAACCAAATCTGATCAAGGTAACAAAATTAAGTGTCACCTTTTTTTATGTAAGAGCTAATAAATGGGTCTTCCACCCCCAAAATGGGGGGACAGACTACATTGAACATAACACCTTTCGTCACTTAAATTACAGAGCCCCATATAGGCGATGTATGTCACAGAAATCAGTTCCGATGTAAGTTGGTAGTCCCGACGTTGATAACGACAAAATTGGATCGCAAAAAAATTATGGCTGATTTTTCTACAGCCAGATAAATGTTATTTGAGGAATCAAATTGTTGCTGTCACTGTCTTATACAATACAAACATTCTGACGCGAGAATCACACTCGTATAGCAGTGAGCGATCGATTTCTGTCGTAACCTCAGTCGAGAATTTTGAAGCCGATTTCGTTCTATTTTGAGTTCCTATAATAAAAATTGTAACACTCACATTGCCCTATTCGGGTCTTCAATAACTAAATAAATAAAAATTGCTTTTTCTTTTATCTTTTTTAAAAGTCTTACTAAAGTTTCATCACAACGAGGATTCATTTGCTTAACTTATAAACTCACGAACTTTACAATTATTTATTTAATTAACGTATAGTTAATTTTATTTATTAATTAATATAGGGATATGGACTTTCGTTCCTTTTGATCATTTTCTATTATATTTTTTTCTTACTTGTACCAAAGTAAATATTTTTCTTACAAGCTTTGTGTTTTTAATACAACAACGCGCAACGCCTGAACTGCTGCATCGATTTGGATGACTTTCTTCTCAAAGTAATTCAAAATTGGATGAGTCGTAGAAAAATTGTCACTGAAATTAACATCGACAACTAAATATGATTTCGAAAGGAAGTATTAACATAGGTATAATGACTTACTTGCTTTTCCCCGCGATTTCGTTTACGTGGAATAGTGCCACATAGTTCTCGATCTCGTGGGATTTTTGGTACTTTCCCGCTCCCGCAGGATTTTCGGGATAAAAACTATTCGATGTCCTTTCTCCAGTTCCAAAGTATGACTGTATCAAATTTTACACAAGTCGGTTCAGTAGTTTGGGCGTGAAGAAAAGACAGACAGACAGAGTTACTTTCCCATTTATAATATTACTTTGGATGTCTATGACCATAAGGCGACCGACCGGCGATATGTCAATGCTCGAAAAAAAAATATCTGTCATGATGATATGACAATTTACGCGCGGTTCCTATAATCGAGAAACGATCCGTTTTAATTACGAATAGTAGTTTTATATACGACTCGTGAGCTAAAGCCGTTCCTATAATAAACGTCTCGTCGTGCAACTTACTGACGGTTTGCAACTAACGGATATCGGTAAGCGAATTGTATGGAGATCTATGGTGTCTGTGGTTTTCCTATAAATATATTAACCGTCAGTAGACGGTCAAGATAACTATGTGTACTGTCATTTGATCGTAATGCGTATACAATGACGATTCGTTAAATATAGGAACCGGGCATTAGAGATCTTCGTAACAATAAAAGATGGCGTTTCGTCTTCTTTAGGGGCGAATCCACCGAGAGATGATCTCCGGCCACCATAAGCGCGCGCGCCTCACAGAGCCAATAGACCATTACAGACGGGGCCCTATAAGGCTGATGTTCAACCGGGGTTGCAGCGTAAGCGCAATGAGGCACCGCGACCTTGGCCCAGAGCAGGAGAATGAATGGGGGGTTTTTAGTCAGTAAGAGTCTGACACTCCCTCCCGCCCTACCCTGGTACTAATAAATTTATACTTTGACACAAGTAAGAAAAATACCCAAATATTCCATTTAAGACGTTGGAACAGTTATTCCATTCAAAATATTAATAGGTATATTTTTTACAACACATATTACTTATATTCTTTTCGTGGTTTTACTATGTGGCTTATTTACTCTTTAATAAATATATAGATAAGCAAAAAAATATTTTCTTTATTGCTTCACGTGATATTAATTCAATGCTTTCCTTAATATAACAAAGCTTAAAACTTTGTAAATACAATGCTATCGATAGAATTGATTGAAAAAGAGTAACCATGGAGTTTTTTGCTCGTTCTTCTCCATAGGAATCTGAACTTTGGATCGAGCAAATAGCTCCACAAGAGGACAGACCGTGAAGATGTACATCATATTTTAGCGGACTGTGATCGGAAGAAGATGTTTCAATACATATAGGTTTCTATATAAATTTACCATCGTCTCCACTTTGTGAAAGAGTTAGAGTACTTATTAGTTTACTTAAAGAGGGTCTAAGGCGGAGATCATCTTTGCCTTAATTCTTCTTTTTTAAGGAGCGTCATATTTGTAATTGCAAATAAGCTCTTTTAAATAAATATTGAAAAAAAAAGAGGACAGACCGACATACCGACACCTAAAGTTGAACTTTCTGGTATTCAATTTTTTGTTTGACTTTCAAAAGTGCCTATTGTTGTATATTTGAAATAAATGATTTGACTTTGACTTTGATAGAGTTTTTGACATTAATCTTCAGAGGATGCAAAATAAGAATTATTTCATTTGAAATATACATCAGTGGTAACGTCAGATTTTTTGACAGTTACGTTACGATTCTCACTTAGTGCCTAGAGGGCGTTACTGAGCAATCACTCATTTCAATACTAATATATCTGAAGCCGTACCAGTCGTACCTCAGACCCCTTAATTTTATTATTTCTTGTGATAGGTCGTCAAACGAGAAGACGGATTACGTGATGGTAAGCAATCGGCGCCGTCTATGAACACTCGCAACTCTCCAGCTGACGAGTGCATTGCCGGCCTTTTGGAGATTCGGATTTTTGACGTTTAGACATTAGGGAGGGATAGGGGGAGATAACTTTACTTAATACGCGACAAAACACAACGCTGTGATTGTTTCACGTCATTTTTCTGTGAAGGATAGTCCTTATTTTCGACGCAGATATTCGAATGTATTTATTTGTAATTAATGGCTAGAGAATATTGAAGTACCTATATCAGTGCAACGCACACAAAATCCAAAGTCACCCTGTTATAATTGTCTCACATTGAAGACCTTTGACTTTGAGAAATTTAACAATTAGATATCATTAAAAGATCTACATACAGATTTTTATAACTTTGTTATATTAAGCTTACACTATTTAAATATATAGCAACCACATATGAAAAACCACTATATTCACAAATATACGTATAAATTAAAATTTTAAATATAATATTAATATTTATAACGATAATATAATATTTATAATCTTTAGACATCAATATTTTATTGCAATAAAAACGACAATAGTTTTGTTTTAATATTGCTGCGCACAGCGAGCATTAAGGTAAAGTACTAAATTCAATATAATAATAGTAATAATATAAACATTAATAGTTATTTTACATATAATAATGATACAGTTTATAAGCAAATTATTGTAGAAAATGCATTGCTTTTTGAAAAATGGTTTTTATTCTGATATCTTTGACCTTATGAATGTTGAATCACATCATTTGACAAGATACTCGACTAGTTTCAAACCATGCTAGAGGCCCATATTCATGAGCAGCATTCCGCGACATGAGCAACATGCGACACGGCGACTGTAGCGCTGCTACAGTAACGTGAGTAAGCCGAAAAAATAATAATTAATTAAGTATGTCTCGCGAAAGTTATAATTAAAATATGCCTAATATCAATAATAAAACGTTCGGTAGGTATTATATAATCTTCATCTATTTTAACTGTCGGTGGAAATATATATTGTGTCGTGTCACGCAAGAAGCTTACTGTTTGGTGTCGTGTCGTGTCGCATCATACACTTATGTGCTTTTAATCATAATAGATGTCGTACGGCCGTTGCGTTCCGCGCGCGCCTCAAAGAGTCAATAGACCACCACAGACGGGGCCCTATAGGGCTGATGTTCAGCCGGGGTTGCTGAGAATGAGTCACCACGACCCCAGCCCAAAGCAGGAAAAGGAACGGGGTGTTTTTAGTCAGTAAAGAGTCTGACACTCTCTCTCGCCTTACCCGGCGCGGGAGAAGTCATTGGATGATTTTCCCCTTACAAAAAAAAAAAAACATAATAAATGTATATCATCGATATGTTTTTGGAACGAGACGAGATTACAATATATTACCTTTAAAAAACAAAGTCTCCCCCTTATCTGTAAGCAAAAACAAATTTTGAAATGGTATCTTTCAAATATATATTTAAGTACATTTTGTATAATGTATAAAGTCAAAGATATCATTATAAATAATGTAAGTAATGAAGATTACTGTAATAAAAACGCGGATTAGAAATCAGTTATATAAATGCTAAATGAATAAAACCAATAATGTTAATGGCAACACTATAGCTTATTTTTTATATCGTTGAAATAATGATCAATTTACATAAATTACAAACATATAAGTTAGTAAAAAGAAAAAGCTAAAAAAACATCACTTCAAAAAAGCAAAAAGAAATTCATCAAAACAACCTAACCTTAAAAGAAATAAGCTACAGTGCTGCCATCTACGATAGTTTTTGTAATACCTGTCATTAATGTCAGTTTTAAAAATTAAACGCTTGAAGTCGCCTGTTGACTGCTATGATCAGATATGATGGAGTTCAGGTCGGATTCGCGGAGCGTTGGCGGTGTACCGAATGGGAAATCCTGGAAAATTGAGCAATAAAATTAATTAAGATTATAAAAACTTAAAGATGTTTTATCGAATATTGTTTGGTAAATCTTTGGCCTCGACTAAAGCCGGGCGTGAGAGGTCACCGCCGCCGACTTCCCCGAGGACACGGCGTTGCTCAGCCCAAGCAGGGCAAACCGCCACCTTATGCTCCACCGTATTCTCTAGAGGATCCTCACAATGACGACACTCGGGCGTTTCCTCCCGCTGGATCCGAAACAGGAATCTACTGAAGCTGCCGTGCCCGGTAAGCACCTGCGTCAGGCCGAAGCTGAGGCAAACCACTCCTTTAAGAGGGCCATAACGCTCCTATAACAGCGTGCCGGCCCTCGGTTGCGACAGTCGTTGCTTCACACACAGCCATGAGATCGCGCCAGATCTCGTTCCACCACGCACTTATTTGGCGCGGCATAGGATTCTTGCCCCGGCGACGCGCGTCTACGCGCAAACTGTAGCGCCTTTCCTTCGCCATAGCGGTGTATCTGAAGGAGGTTCCCGCTTCCCCGGAGATCATGCGATATCCGAGGAATTTTAACCACTGGGATGCGACCAGTGCACGAGTTAATCGCTGCTTCAAGTCCGGCTCCCACAACCTCCAGTTGTACTATATCTGAGGGCCTGAGCCCGTGAATCTTTCGGGCGAGAAAGAGAGATGGAGCTATAAAAGGTGTATAGCTCCATCCCTCTTTATCGCCCGGAAGACTTACGCTTTAACACGTGGTGGTATGATAAGGCCCTCTGATTCTGATTATTTCCTTCTAGGAAACAGTATATTTATAGTGCCTGGAATCCACTAGACTCCTGGTGCAATCGAGTTGCAGCGGGTTTAGAAGCTTGATTCATAAAGAATGCTGTACCTGAGTTGGTAACGTCCGCGGTGCTGGTGGCGCGGGGGGCGGAGCCCTGGGCGCGCGCGGGGACGCGCACTCTGCGCACTCTACACCGCCTCCTGACTGACTTCGTGTCGACCGACGCGACCAAGACTCTGGCATACAGCTGGAATTTCACACGAAAACAGTTATATATAAGTTCCATCCTTCTTAGAAGTTTTTTTTTTGTTTAAGTGACAACTTCAACGCAAATAAGCTGATAATCTCCTGATCGTATGTAATTGACTCCCTCATCCCAAAAATGTTGTTCATGGGCGGCGCTGATTGCTTACCACCAGGTAATCCGTCTGCTCGTTACATAAAAAAAGTAGGTTTGAAGGTGTATACTGACGCATGATGCACGATATGCGCGCAGGGCAGCGAGGCGAGGGGCTCGGCGCGCTCGGCGAGCGGCTCCCGGCAGCGCGCGCAGGCGGGCGCGGCCCAGGCCGCCGCCGCGCGCCGCTGCCGCGCCGCCGCCTCGTTGTCGCCCAGCCCCGTGTAGATCTCCGCCAGCCGGAGCCGGACGCGACGGACTAGCATCTGGTTAAGCACGAAAATATAGTACAGTTTTATTAAGTTATTCCAGTTTTTGGTATTGTTTTTCTAATACCCCACCCACACTAGAATTTTGTCGTATGTCGTGGGTTGAAAAATATACAATTTAAAATACAAATCACTGAACAACTATTTGTGGGTCACACAAAGAATTATTCCGTGCGGGAATGAAAACCGGGACACGTTGCGCGGCAACCGTGCAGTCAAAATTATTGCTAATATGCCTTTTTTATATATTGTGGTAGAGAGTAGTAAGCTAATAAAAAAAAATTGTTGATAATAAAAAAACAGCAGTTTCTTGACGTTTAGGGGTATGATTTTTTTTTAAATAAGACGTTGTCCCACTCTATGGTTTTCTCCTGTGTCGTGGTTGCGTTTACAAACATAAAATTTCACTTATACATCACTCTCAAACTATTTGTGGATCACACAAAGAGTTATTCCGTGCGGGAATAAGACGCGACACGTTGCACGGCAGCTAGGTGCCCGGCAGTCAATTCTATGTCAAAAAAATTTTCTAGATGCCACTTTTAGATATTGTAGTAAGTAGATAGTGGTATACCGATTGATGCCATTAAAAAACTGCAGAATCTTGATGTTTGACACCTTTTCACGTCAAGAATCTGCAGTTTGATAATATTAGTTTACATTCTCCACAGACTCGTGGTCCGTACCCTTGTCATACAAAGACAAATGATGAATCGTCCAGGCCCATGTGAAACCGACGTAAAATAGCCCCTTAAATCAAGCCTAATCACTTTCGCCTTGAACAATAAATAAACTTGTAGCCAAGACTTGTAACCCCTCACGGATGTCTATAATCCATGTGCACCAGGGCCGGCGTAAGGGCCACTGACACCCCGGGCGAAACTATATTGTGGCGCCCACTTGAGGGAAGCAATATCAAGTGTTAGTTTTTTGATGATCGTATTGATATCGTTAGAGTCACTCCTCGAATACAAATCCTCAAAAAATCACAGACAAGCACAGAGCGTCACAGTCCTGAGGGTTTGCACCAAGAAAGACAAGACAACGAAAGACCCCAACTGCAGGCTTTGGCACCCTCCAGGATTTGTCGCCCTGGGCCATCGCCCCATCACGCTCCCCCTAACGCCGGCACTGTGTGCAGCGCTGATGACAATGAGGATATGGCCACTTTTATTTCTAATCTTTTTAGCTTTACTTAATACAAGAAAATTAAACATTTTGACTTACCTTAGCTCCAACGGAAGTGGCGACTTCAAGCAATCTTGTATTAAACTCCAGAGGCCTACAGTTGCAGATTCTGCCCTGTAGGCGTAACGCTTCTAGACATCGCGCAGCCCCGTCCATAGCCTCCATTTGCGCGAGACGGTCGCCTAATGCCTGGCCGGCGCCCATTGCTACTTCGTAATGCCTGTTGACAATTAAAACTTTTGGATTAAAAACTGATTTAAATATACCATATGTCGTACAGAAACCTCTTTCTTTGTAAGTTGATTAAAAAGTGGGTATAGTGTTGGCTTTAAATTTGCTCGTTACTGTAAAAAATAGCAATTATAGTAATACTCATTGTTATAGTAAGGAGTTTAAAATATAATAATTCATTTCTGAAGAAATAAGCTGTGCCTTTGTACCTAATTGTTGTATTATGTTTCTTGTCTAACTTTCTATGTACATAAATTATAAAATAAATAAATAATTTAACGCCAAATCTGACGAAAAAGGTTGGCGCCCACCGTGGGACCATTTGACCCACGTTGGGCGCCAATAAAATCTTTGCGACTTTCTATTAAAAACAAGAAGTTACAATCCAGATGATTGTTTTTTTGCTAGTTTGTAGCATTTTGTCTATTTTATGTACAAAATAAATATTTTCTAAAAATTCGCTAAAGCATTAAAAGTATGATGAATATATGTAAGCACGAAAGTTGAAAGTTAATTGATACAAAATTTCACTAACTGGACATCTTAATAATAATGAAGATTAAAGATATAAATATCTGTACCTCAAAGCTTTCCCGATGTCACATTTCCTGCGATACACATCGCCCGCGATGCGTACTGCGCGCGCGTAGCAACCTTGATCTCCTGCCACTGCCGCTAGCCTCAATGCCTCCTGCAAAATGTAGTCAAACACACATTAATATTGTCTGCATGTATAGTGCATACCGTACCAACATAGCTCGTAAAATCTGCAGGCTAAAGTGGCAATGGGCAGGCCACGTTGCTCTTCGACGACCGATGGGCCCGAAAACATAAAATCCACCTTGGGTAAGCGTGGTGAACAATGTTCAAACTTTTTTCATGTGAGAAGAGGCCTTTTGCTCAGCAGTGGGCACTTGTAGGCCGATGATGACGATGATGAACCATTTCTCCGTAAATGTCGCAAATTTATTTGTAACCGTTCTAGGGTTACTTAATAGGCATTATTCATTTACAAACAGATTTTTCTGATGTCGTCAATATATTTATGTAAGATCCACTATACTCACATTACAATAATCATGTGCATCTCCCAGTTCGCCCCTCGCCCTGAGCGCGGCGGCCATTTGCAGCAATGCCGTGCGGTGATGGCGCGTATTAAGGTCAGTCGCGCGCGGACCGCGTCCGAGGTCACACGCGCGCGCCGCGCATGCCACCGCGCGCTCTGCGTCGCGGAGACGTCGCCATAGCTCGGAGAGACCTACGTATACCTGGGGCCAAGGAAATTAATGTAAATTGGAAGATCCTACAGTTATCCATATGTTAGGCCACCTATGATTGTAAAGATAGGTGGTGTTTCTAACATTTTGTAATTATTGTCTTTTACAGCATGGGAAACTCCAAAAGTTACTTCTTTCCTAAAATTGTAAACGAGCAATGAGTATTAAGTTGAATAATATTTTCAGGCAAGTTTCTCGAGTAGAAATAGAGTTGGAAATTTGAATTAGTCAGCATTTTTAAGGAAAGAGAAGAGACAACGTCACTTTCAAAAGAAAACCTGTTCAAAAGTTCTTTATAATCAAGTTACATTATTATTTTTATTGAATTATAGTCAAATTCATCTTCTTTCTACCAACTAGGCACATGGTTTACAGAAAACCAGCGTAAAACAACCACAGCGTTGTGTTTCGCCGTGTGAGTGAGGTTACTGGAGGCCCAATCCTTCCTCACCCCCAATCTCTAATCCGACGCACACGTTACTCCTCTGTTGTTGCGTGTGTCCATGGGCGGCGCTGATTGTTTACCATCAGGTAATCCGTATGCTAGTTTGCCGTCCTATCACATAAAAAAAGTCCAGTAATTCATCTTGTCTACCAACTACCCACCAAAATTTTCCCTTTCAAACGTACCTGAAGCAGTAGTGTATTATCGTTCTGCGCCTGAGCAACGGCCAGAGCCTTTTGGAAGGCGTCCATGGCTTTAGAAAAGGCTCCCAACTCCAGACTAACGGCTGCGACAGTTAAATGCACACAACCAGCCGTGGAACCACCGCCGCAGTCGTTGTATAACGCTTGGCGGGCGTAGGAAAGGGCCCTGGAAAAGAAAAGACACGTATATAGTTTTAGTCTATCGTTTTAGGTAATTAACTAAATAAACAACAAGTAATGGGAGAGCCATTAAGCTTCGACACGAATGTGTCGGTTTGAATGGAGTGATACCACGGCCTCACAGAAAAGCAGTGTGAAACAACCACAGCGTTGTGTTTCGCCGTGTGAGTGAGGTTACCGGAGGCTCCAGTCCCGTCCTCCAAGTAGTTCCCATTTCCTAAATCTCCAAAACCCTAATTCCCAAAAGACTGGCAACCCACTCATAACTGCCCTGGTATTGCGTGCGGCACTGACTGCTTACCATCAGGTAAAGTGTACTCATTTGCCGACCTATCACATAAAAAATTTAGGTAATTATGTTAAAAAAAATTGTCTTTCTGTAGGGCCAGCAAACGAGCAGTCGGATTACCTGATGGTAAACAATCAACGCCGCCTATGGACACTCGCAATACCAAACTGCGTTGTTAGGATTGTTGTTGTTAGTTATTTACGGATAGGGGATTTGAGGATATAGGATGAAGGTGGAGGGGAGGATTGGGCCTCCGGTATCCTGACTATCACGGCGAAACACAACATAAGCATTGATTCACGGCGGTTTTCTATGAGGCCATGTTATCGCTCAAGTCGAGCCGGCCTACTCGTGCCGAATGGTATGGATAATACTAGCTTCCGCCAAAGGCTTCACTCGCGTGATGTATTGATAAAAAGTGTATCGTATGCCTGTGCCAAATTTCATCCAAATCCGTCCAGCCGTTTTGGCGTGATTGAATAACAAACATCCAAACATCGTAACTTTCGCATAAATGACATTAGTAAGGTTACAAATTAAATCACCTGTCAAGTCCACCCAAGGTCTGATGAGCTCTTGCCAAGTTCAGATAGGCTTCAGCTCTCATCGGAGCAGAGTCCAACTCTTCAGATATGCCAAGTTGGCGGTTCGCAAACTCCAGTGATTCCCTGAAAAATATAATTGAGATTAAAAACTTTTGGAAAAACTGCTGTTTTCTTATAAATAGGATGGACAGCTCAAAAGTATACGTGACTAGCTAATCTCGCGCGGTTTCACCCGCTGCCCAGATCCATTTAATCGTAGCGTGATTTTTTATAGCACTCAGGAACATTGTAGCTACCTATCAGTGAAAGAATTTTGGAAATCCGACCAGCTGTTCCAAAGATTACCCCCTACATACAAACTTAAAAATTTTACCTCTTTATAATATTAGTATAGATAATCAAACATACGTACATCTTTTATTTCGTCCATTTCACCAGTAAATAACTAATTAAACCAAATTCTTATGGAATAAGTACCTAACCTATTTGACGCAAGAAAACGTGACGTCACTACAACCAGTCGTTTTGACAGTTGACAGTTTTAAAGAAACTGTCAATTTAGACAGTTGCGAAAAAAATAATAATTGAATTTGACTGATTGTTAAGTACCCGTATTATGTGGCGTAAAGACCACAAAATAATAATATTGTACTTACTTCATTATTATAAAATACGCCGAAATTTGGCAAGATACCAGAAAAAGTAACAGTCATATTATGATAGCTTTTTTATTTGGAGACCAGCCAAGGAAGTAACATTGTGTAAAGTTTTGATTTGATTATTGTATTGTACGTTTTGTGTAGTGTAGTATCCGGAAGAAGGTCTCACTGGGATTCAGCAGCATTTCAGCATCAGCAGCAGCCGTTCGTTGCTGCTGCACCAATCGTGCAGTCAAAATTAACTTGAATCACTAAACAGTATAAAACAAAGTAGTTTTCTCTGTCCCTATATCCCTACGTACGCTTAAATCTTTAAAACTACGCAACGGGTTTTGATGCGCTTTTTTTTACAACAGAGTGATTGAAGACTAACGTTAATATGCATAATAACATCTATTAAATAGTGGAAAAATTTAGCATCAGCATTGCATCCGACGATATCCGCAGGGTGGCCGGCAGTTGGATGAGAAGAGCTGAACATCGAGCTCAGTGACGTGCGGTTGGAGAGGCCTATGTCCAGCAGTGAAATCAGGCTGATGACGATGATGATGATGATGATTGCACCCGTGCAAAAATTGATGAAGGGATTCATAAAATAAAAATCTGCACTCACCTATACTTCCCAAAGTCCATGTACGCCTGGTACAGATGTCCTAATAGCGCGAACTTGTCACTCCTATGCCTAACTCCTCGGAGGGCGGAGAGCCAGACCTTCACTGCCAACCTCTGCTCGTTCTGCCCGTACAGACGGACTCCACGCTCGATCTGGTGGAAAGTAGAGAAGGAATTGTTAAGATTTGGATAGTGGTAGTCTTATAAGTGATTGCTTATGACCATAAAACCGTGCCTTGTTGGCCTTTTGGGGATTAGGATGTTAGAGATTTTTAATCTCCCACGTGTGCAGACTGCGCTTGAGCAGCGAGTCGGTTCCACAGTTTGTGGATCACACAAAGAGTTGTTCCGTGCAGGAATCGAACACACGGCACGTTGCGCGGCCTCGCCGATTACCTCGCTTATAAGGTACATTTTTATAAAATTTTAAGAACCCATATCCTTTCAGATATTCTTGTCGTTCATAACTAACCTTTCTCCTCGCCAAATACTGGTCCAATCTAGACCTGCAAGCTCGGAAGCAGTCGAGCAGCCCGGCAGCCGGCGGTCTATGCGCCGGCCCGAACCGGGAGCCCCATCGTAAAGTGCCGTTACGAGCCGAGCCGGCGCCGCCAGCGGCACCGCTGCGGAAATCCTCGGAGAACGGGTATACTTCTGGAAGAGAGAATGCATAGAATAGAATCATCATCATCATCATCATCAATACCAGATATAAAGTGTTCATTGCTGAGTAAAGATCTCTTTCCACATGTAGAGGGTTTAAAAATCAGTCGCAATAATTGCTCAAGGTGGTTTAGGTGTTTCAAACAATATAATTTAAAAATTTAAGTTCAGTGTTTCTCATAATGATTTTCGTCACCTGATCTGCATTAACGATGTCTAAATAATTGTCTTAGAAAGAACAAAGTAATAAATAATTCGGGAATAATCGTTTAGGTACTTGTGAGGATTGGAGTCCGCATACTTTGTATTGTATGAGAAGTGGTCGCTTTTACGGACCACATTTGAGCATAAATACGGGTAAGTTCGGGTTACTTTGACCCTGCGGGGTAACTTTGATCCAAACCCTTTAACCAATAATAACTGAGAACCAAACATATATTCGTTTTTCATTGGTTCGAAAATTTGGATCAAAGTTACCTCCCAGGGTCAAAGTAACCCGAACTTACGATTGATTTTTTGATGATTTCGTTGCGGGATCTAACATTATAATTTAGTTGCTTGGGTGTTTTCATAGTTGTACCACGTATTGTATCCACTGTAAATCCTGATAATGGTTCCTTATAGGAGTTGTAGGTGTTGGTTGTGGTGGTTGAGGTGGACTTCACCTACCTTGAGGCTCATCGAGATGGTGTCTGGATGGATCAGGTGAACTCAGCAGACGTGTCGCCGACAGCTGGTGGGCCGGCACCCCGCTGTAACGGTACAAAGCATCTATTAGTAATTTAACTTTCAGTTTTATTTGGAAGATGTACAGTATTCTTTTTGTATAAATACGGATAATCAAAGTAAGTAAAGCAAATGCAGTTTTTGGGAAGAAAACCGTTTTATTAGCTTTGTGATAGCTAGTTTCACCCATATTTATATACGGGCCAAAGCCTAGGAAATATTTATTTTTGAAGTTAATACAACGATTCTGCTTGTAGGATAGCTACGTTCTGGAGTACAATGTTTCTTTTAAAGTATGGATGGCGAAGATGGTCGTGGTGATGGAGGATTTTTCGGGAAACTTTACTTTTATCGTGGAACAAAATATTATTATAACGCTAAATCCGAGTGAAGTTTCTTGCTCGTCCTTCTCCATGCGAATCTACTTTTTCGAGTTTTGGAACATGACCTGGTTTCGACGTACAGATTGATCGACGAACACTAAAGTTGTCGACGTAGCCCAAAGGATTAGCACACTGAAATGGTAGGGGGCGTAGTGTAGGGTGTCCTTCAGTTAAGTGGGCTGATGATATTTGTAAGGTAGCATGCAGAGGTTTGATTAGAAGACCTCATTAGAAATGCATCATCATCACATCCAGCTCAATGGCGTGCAATTCGGTAGTTTCCAAATAGTCAAATTGAATACTTTTATCCAAATGTAAACACGATAATTTTCTATAAAATTTGTATGAAATTCCAAATTATGACATCATTGTATTTTCATAATCAAATAGCTTACTTATCTCTTAAAAATTAGCTAAAAATATCGAAAATTTAGTGTAGCGACAAAACGATGAATAAAATGATAGTTATGTTTCAATGTATTGAAATGTCGAATAAATTGTTTTTGACATAGGAAACTACCCAATTGAAAAAGCCTGTGTCCAGTAGTGGACAAAATCGGGCAGATAATGATGTTTATGAAAATGAAGAGGAATAAGTACATATTTAAAAATTTCACATTTCAATGTAAGTTGCATTACAATTAAATGGAAGGCGAGTCGATCTGATGATGGAGTTGACAGTCAAGGGAACTCCTTAATGGTTTACAGTAGTTGCTTTCTTTTTGGGTGTGATTGCATTTTACACGCATACACCTCCAGAGACAAAACTTACCCTAGGAAGTCGCGCGACTCTATGGAGTCCCATGACATGTTCCGCGGGTGTAGACGACAGCGTCACCTACTGGTTGGATGCATCGCGCTCTCTCGCTCGCTCAGCGCTCTCACTCGCTAGGGAAGAAAGAGATAGATGTATTTTTATCAGTTCACTTTTGAATAGAGGATAATAATTCTTAAGCCCTGTTTTTTGGAAGTTGCCCTGCACTAGGGTTTGCTTTTGTATCTTGAGCACAAACACACTATATATACACCGTGTGAGTGAGGTTACCGGATAACCAAATCCTTTCTCTCCTCCATCCCTCCCCAACCCCTTAACAGCCGGCAGGGCACTCGTAACTTCTCTGCTGTTGCAGGTGCCTATGGGTGGCGCCGATTGCGGCCGGTTGCCGAGCCACATCCACAACTGTACAAGTCTTTTTTTATGTAATAGAGCGAACGAGCTGGTGGATTACCTAATGGTAAGTAATCAGCCCGACCTATGCGGGTGTCCGCGACAACAGAAGAGTTACGTGTACGTTGCCATCCTTTTAAGGATTAGGGTTTTGGAGATTTAGGGATTGAAGAAGGGGAAGGATGAGGCCTCCGGTAACCACACTCACACTGCGAAACACAACGCTGTGGTTGTTTCACAGTAGACTAATTTTCTTGAAGAAATTAGTAGTTAGTCTTAGCGTGGCTGAAAAGCAAAAAGTTGGAGCTTACCTGATTAAGAATAATAATGACGATTCTTCAAATTGCTCTCCATCGTTATAATTCTGCTGTTGCCCATCTTTCACGCAGTTATGATGACCTAAAAAGAAGAATACAATAAAGTTTAATTTTATTATGTACATATGTGTGAGTGAGCTATGCTTCGGCGAGACTTGACCATCTCAACCGGTATGGATACCATGGACTCTTAGCAACCGGCGGGAAACATCACAAGCATTGATTTTCGCGGTGTGTCGTTATCGAAGATCTCCTCAACCTCCAAGTCCGTTGTGGGTCAAGTGCAATAATGTACCGCTGCCTCAGCCTGTTGCAGGAGAAGGAACAGGATGGTTTTAAGTCAGTAAGAGTCTGACACTCTCTCTAGTCCAACCTGCTTGGGCGAGAGAAGTCACAAGATGATTTTTCCTCTCAAAAACCCAAAAACAAATCCCCCAATCCTGACCGGCTTCCCCAAAAAGGCCGGCTACGCACGAGTAGCTCTTACGATGCCCAGGTTGGGCGCTGTCTTTACAAACAAATATGCATATAATAGTAAGCGCTTGTTGAGTCAACATCTCCTGAGGATGCCCTGTAGCCCCTCCACAGGGACACGAAACACGTGTCGAGTCTAGGTTTTATTGCATGGGGTGGGATTGCATCTGCAACAACCCTGGACGTCACGATTGTCACGGATTTCCGCAAAGTGACGCCTGATTCTATAGTTAAAAAAAGGTATGCGAGTCTAAACTGCTTTCTAACTAATCTCTGCGTAACTGGGTCAGCACGTCGATTCTATAAAATTTGTTTAATTTTGAATCGTGTTCGAGTGCGAAGTGAGCCTTAAAGTGACGGGTAAATTAAATTTTTTAATGCCACTTTTAACGTCATCTCATACTTTATCTTTCAAAATGTTGCGGTCAATTTAGTTCAACTCGCAAGTGTAGCGCTAGTGTACTACTACTCACGGCGGATTCAGATTCGAAGTTTAGAATGAAGTCTTACAGAATCACACTGGGCAAGGCAGGGGTTGATATATTTATTTTGGCTTCAATTTATACATACAGTTATTCGAACTGCCGTTATGCAGGTACAGATTTATTATTTTTTGGGAGGATCATTTCATCTCAGCTTTGGAATTTTTTTTTTTTGTTTATGTAATAGGCCGGCAAACTGGCAGACGGATAACATGATGGTAAGCAATCAGCGCCGTCTATGGGCCCCCGCAACGGAGGAGTGACGAGTGCGATGCCGACCTCTTAGGGATTATTAATATTAGCGTAATTTTAGTTTTTTAACATGATTTTAATTCTGACCACACGGATCAAAACAACTTATAGAAAGAACACTATCGGATCATCCCTGAAAACAAATTCTACCTACATATCAAATTTCAGCGCAATCGTTAGGGCCGTTTCCGAGATCACATGCTCTTCCAAGCAATCTGCGCCATCTGCCGGGCTGATTTGTGAATCTAAACCAACCAGGGCGCCACTCAAACGCATGCAGAAAAAAACATTTAAATCGGTTAAGCAGTTTAGGAGGAGTTCAATGACATACACACGTACAGCAGAATTATATATATAAAAAACTAGACTAGACCGCGACTTCGTTCGTGTGGAATAGTGACTTCCTGAAGATTTTTGGTATAAAAACTATCTTATGTCCTTTCTGGAGTTCCAAACTATGTCTGTACCAAATATCACAGAAATCGGTTCAGTAGTTTAGGCGTGAAGAAAATACAGACAGACAGACAGAGTTACATTCGCATTTATAATATGAGTTTGGATAAGTAACTTGTATTTTTTTGTAGCATTCTTCAAAGAAGAAAACGCGCCATCTTTACAATTTCCTAATAGAATTGGTTTAATAGGTCAATTAAGTTCCTGACAAACATACAACGTAAGTTACTTTAACGCAGCGGATTAACCGGCGGATTAAATGATTAACGATTACAAGCAAAGCAAGGAAGCCTAACTAGAGGTTCAAAATAGAACTTTGTTCTTCGTTTTTTGCTGTTAAAAGAGTAACTAGCTACTCCCGCGTGGTTTCACTCGCTGCTCGGCTCCATTTGATTGAAGCGTGATGTTTTATAGCCTATAGCACTCAGAAACATTGTAGCTATCAATAAGTGAAAGAATTTTGGGAATCCGACTAGTAGTTCCAAAGATTACATACCCCCTACATAGAAACTTAAAAACATACAAAATTACAAATTTTACCTTTTTAATAATATAAGTAATTGACTATTGAAAAATCAGCCCTTAAAATAGCAACTAAAAACTTCTAAGGTTATAAACCTTATGCTCATGAATTTATAAACTATCTCAAAAGAAGTTGTATAAAATGAGGTTGTAGTTTGCACTATGGACTGTAGCCTGCACTCACTAGAATCTCAGAAAGAGCTGAGTAAATAAAAAACTATTTTTCCAGTCACCACACTCCAAAAGAACCCGAGCGTAAGGCGCGTAGCGTTCCGCGCGCGCCTCAAAGAGCCAATAGACCACCACAGACGGGGCCCTAAAGGGCTGATGTTCAGCCGGGGTTGCGGGGCGGGAAAAGTAATTTGATGATTTTCCCCTCACAAAAAAAACACTCCAAAAGAATTCATCACACATATTCTTAACAAACACACAACGGTATAAATACTTCTTTCATTATATTATATCCTATTTAGGACCCATTTCACTCAACTGACAGTTTGAGCGCATGGAACCTTATCAGTTGTACAGGTGACGGAAGCCGGAATTTCATACGAAGAACTGGTAACCACAAGAGTGAATTTTCTTTAGTAAAAATTAGAATAGATTTATTTTATTATTGGCATTATTTTGGGAACTGCTGTCTTTCTGTTTCGTTGTTTTGAATAGTCACAAATACAATGGCTTAACATGAGGTCTTATGTTTTCCGAGACAGGCAAACAAAAGTAAGTTTTCGGATTATTAGTCAGTAAAAGTCTGACACTCTCTCTTGCTTTATCCAGTCCGAGAGAAGGTTTTAGATTGTTTTTCCTTCAAAACAAAAGAGTTAATTACTCTCCCTCCTCCCGACTTCTCCTACCAAGGATGAGGCGAGAGGGAGTGACAGACTTACTGACTAAAACCCTCTGTTTCTTCTCCTGCTCTAGGGCCTGGCCGCGGTGATCTACTGGCTCTTTGAGGCGCGCGCGGAACGCTAAGCGCCGTACGCCGATCACTTCCCTGAGGACACGGCGGTGGTCAGCCCAGGCAGGGCATACCGCTACCGTATGCTCCATCGTATCCTCTAGGTGGTCCTCGCAAATACCTTGGTAGGCTTGACGTTTCGACCCGGTTGCACAGGTCGTGGTCACAAGCAGACTGATGTACATTCCTCTTCTTGTAATGCCATTTCATTTCTGAAGGTCAGCCATCAGCTTTTTGAATTTATCACTGTAATTGATGGACAGATGGGGGTAGTGACAGACTCTTACTGACTAAGAACCACTCCGTTCCTTCTCCAGCTTTAGGTCGAGGCCGCGGTACCTAAGATAGCTGATCCATTGTATATGACGGAGCGTCGATTATTTAAATTGAATTTTGAAGGAGGTTTTATCACAATTCATCGGACGAGGGTACAATGAATCGTACTCTGGCGAAACGTCACACAGACAGTTCTGCGAGCACATTATGGTGGAGAGCGAGCGCTGTGACCGTCATAGGAGACGGATCGCCGACGTCCGTTATTTTTGTAATTTATTCGGTCTGATTATAAAATCCTACGCCCTGCGTTGGACTGTGAAGACGATGATCGGGATGTTGATGTTTGTGCCTACCCCCCGGTGTCTTCATATATTTTGCACACCGCTGCCAACCTCTTTGAAGACTAAAGGCCTGTCGACAGCTCGCGTCATGGATTTTAGGACCAATAGAAAGTTATATAAAATAAAATATCATATTATGTGTGACCCTTTGAATCAAATAGGTCCTAGTAAAAGGGTTTGAGGTTACTAAGTGCTATTATAACCCAATTATTGAAACTCGTTTCAACGTTCATATCTAGATGCTTGTGTGCCACGTTTTTATAGTAGTACTTTTTTGAGGTAGATCGGCAAAGGAGTTGACTGTTTACAGGCTGGGCCCGCAACACCGAAAGAGTTACGAGTGCGTTGCTGGCGTTTTGGGGATAACTGTTTCGGATATTTAATTTAAAGATTGGAAAGGGATGGGGGAGTTATTGGGCCTCCGGTAACTCACACTGCGAAACACAACACTGAGGTGGTTTCACGCTGATTTTTTGTTAGGTATCGCTCCGGTCTAGCCGACCCATTCGTGTCTAAAGATTGGCTCAATTTAGCAACCAATACAGCATTTAATTTATCTATAAA